CCTAACTTTACTACGTTTTAGTTAATGGTAAAGTTTTTAAGCCTAACTTTACTACGTTTTAGTTAATGGTGAAGTTTTTAAACCTAACGTTTCTACGTTTTAGTTAATGGTGAAGTATTTAAACCTAACTTTACTACGTTTTAGTTAATGGTGAAGTTTTTAAGCCTCACTTTACTACGTTTTAGTTAATGGTGAAGTTTTTAAACCTAACTTTACTACGTTTTAGTTAATGGTGAAGTTTTTAAGCCTAACTTTACTACGTTTTAGTTAATGGTGGAGTTTTTAAGCCTCATTTTACTATTTTATGGTTCACGGTGAATTTCACTTCATTTATCTTTAGTTCGTGTTTTTTACAATACTCTAGAAGTTTTAACATAAAAATATAGATTTTATTATTTCTATAAAGAGAAAATATCACGAGATTTTGTAAAATACTATCAGAAATGCAAGGAAAAAATTAAAGCCACTCATATTCTATAAATATAAAGATATTGTGATTGTTATTGAGTTTCGTGTCAAGGATAAAAAAAAGGAACATTTTATATCGTGTTGAGAAAACTACCTGTTAACAATATAACCTCTTTGACCATCCTTGTGACCTTATGGATTCTTTGTCATTGAACCAAAGCAAATGAAGAAGAATTTTAGCAAGGCTTATATAACTTTGCTAAGAAACTGACGTGATAGCGTTTTATTTTTAGAACTTTTCAATTATGATAAGAAAAGTCCATCTTCCCTTGGTTGTTTACAAAAATGACGTTTCTAAAAGCGGTTATTGCTAACACTTAGGTACTCTGCAGTAAATGCACCATTTTTGCTGTCAATCGTAAAAAAAAAAAAAAGAAAACAATTCAATACATCCTCATGGCTGCTCAGTTTTACAATAACATCATGGACCCTATACTGATAGTTATGAATAGTGATGTCTTTACGTCACGATAGTGCCGACCAATCAGAAGATGAGACGTCGTTTTCAACGAGGAGTCGGCGGATTACTGTATTATCGATTGGTTTCTTAGAGAAGAGCTGTAGAAGCTGCCTGCTTGTGAAACCATTCGGATAAAATATGTACACCACATTATAATAACACCCGTCATTCAACCAGATATGTAGTTCACTCTTGGGATAATTACTGGATGATAAGACAGCCAGATGAAGAGTGTGAAATGGGGAGGTTCTTACGGTTTGTCAGTTCTCACATGTATATAGAGAAATCAATGTATGATCTGTAATTCATAATAGCACATTAATGATTTAATTATGCGAGTGTTGTTCCTTTGAAACCGTGTTTGTTGCACTCAATCGAATAAAAACTCGAAATCAAGTTAGCATTTGAATTTTAAAATAATATGCAAGCGATTCAGAATATCGTGTGAAGTAAATCTTGTCGATAACATCCCATAATATATGTCACGTGTTTTAATTAACAGTATGAAAAACGACAATATGACTTCGGGAAACTATTATATTTACTCTTCTGGAGAGTTCTACACAAAGTCTAAGCCTAGTATTGTCAGCTAAACCTCAGAATTCTTATAGAAAGTTCTCGAAGAAGCTGCCAGTTACGTCATCGTTACTACAGTTAGCATTACATAAGTTAAACAATAGTAGAAAGATATTCATCATTGCTGCTACTGACTACTGTTAAAAAAAAGAAAGAAAAAATATTTTACCGGATTTATTTTATTGAATTCTAATGTTTTAGGTGTGAAATATTCGAGTTAATTTATTGTTACTGCAACATTATCAACTTTAAGCTTATGCTCGACCCCCCAGTGTCCCTAATTTACAAATGCTGGATAGAGGGAAGGCAATCAGTTAGAGGCACTCGCCACCTAGACTGCTATTCTTAGCTGAAAAGCAGATTGACTGTCACCTTTTTTAACGCACTCACAGCTTAAAGTGAAAAGCGTGTTCAGCAACATGTCGAGGATTGAACCTTGGACTTTCCGCATGTCCAGCCAACGCTACAAAGGAAGTTACACGAAAGCACTATTCTCTCTTCACTAACGATACTCCCCCAATGGCACAGCGGTATATCTACGAACTTACAACGCTAGAAACCGGGTTTAGATACCTGTGGAGGGCAGAGCACAATAGCCCATTGTGTAGCTTTGTGCTTAATTACAAAAAAACAACAACAATATTATGCTCTACGATGGGCTGTCTGTGCTGTGCCCACCACAGGGATGAAACTCATTATAAGCCCTAAAGCCTACCGCTGGGTTTAATTAAAAAGGTATTATAATGCCACATTTCAGATTCACATTTATAGAAGTTCAAGTTGTTTTGTTCGAACTCCATTGAAACTAGAATTCTTTATTTACATATCTCATCCTAAATTAATGTTTCTTTGTATCAAAATTCACAACAGAAGTGAAAAACAAACAAACCTGGAGATGAATTTCGACAGGCAATCACTTCCGAACAAGGAAACATATATACTCCCGTTAATTTTCTCGAGTTATTAGTTTGAAAACGGATATTTTCTTCGCTTTCATTAAATTGAGAATTTATGTTATCGCTTTTGCAAACAGATGAAAATAAATGAGCTCCAGCTCGTTGCTTTGCAAGAACGTTCTTGCGAGATGATTTTATTTTACAGAGTCCTGGTGTTGTGTGTGTCTTTGCATATTCTGTTGTGTACCTTTTTCACAGCTAAATGATAGTAGTTACGTTTTGACAATACTGTCACAATATCATGAAATATAAATGGTTTCGGGCAATTGATTTGTTCACGAAAATTATTGTATTTCCTTTTATTCTGAAAATTATCGATTCTGAACTTGTATAAAACTCAACCACAGATCTAGTACCTTCAAAGAAGTACTGTATTTCTGTTTGAGATTTGTTTAGTTACAGGGAAGGTCCGCCGCGGTTCCACGCCGCGTGGCCGCTGAACACTCTCCGTAATTTCAGATGTACACAAGTTTTAGGGTTAACGTACCGCAATAAATCAGAGGTGAGTTTAGGGACTTATAATCCTAAAATCTGGGGTTTGATTCCTGCGGTGGCCAGAGCACGTATAGCCTATTGTGTAAACTGTGCTAAGACAGACAAACAAGAATAGCGGTCAATCTCGTTATTCTACTAGAAGCCGAGCAAAACCTTTGTAGCGACGGGTACTCCTGACTAGTTCCCTGATCTTAGGCCAGTAGTTCAATATTAGGGACAGCTATACAGCTTAATCCTAAGGCAAGCATGAAAAGTGTGAAGCATGCAAAGTGACAAAGTATAAGATGAGAACAACGATTTATATAACAATAATATGAAACCAGACCACTTAATTATATTGGTAATGCACTTGACTGTTAATATTTATATATGTAAGTGTATCAATTAAACTTTCATGACAATCAAATAAAAGCTGAAATATTGGTTGATTTTATTTCATAAAAACTTCATGTTTCTGTTGTTTTATTTAGGGCCTGAACAGTGCAGAACACGCACAAGATGTACAAACCTCATGTTTCTGTTGTTTTATTTAGGGCCTGAACAGTGCAGAACACGCACAAGATGTATCAATTAAACTTTCATGACAATCAAATAAAAGCTGAAATATTGGTTGATTTTATTTCATAAAAACTTCATGTTTCTGTTGTTTTATTTAGGGCCTGAACAGTGCAGAACACGCACAAGATGTATCAATTAAACTTTCATGACAATCAAATAAAAGCTGAAATATTGGTTGATTTTATTTCATACAAACTTCATGTTTCTGTTGTTTTATTTAGGGCCTGAACAGAGCAGAACACGCACAAGATGTACAAACTTAATGTTTCTGTTGTTTTATTTAGGGCCTGAACAGAGCAGAACACGCACAAGATGTACAAACTTAATGTTTCTGTTGTTTTATTTAGGGCCTGAACAGTGCAGAACACGCACAAGATGTACAAACTTAATGTTTCTGTTGTTTTATTTAGGGCCTGAACAGAGCAGAACACGCACAAGACTAATAGTAAGGAAGTTGTTTTTGGTTTTGGACCGTCTGAAAATAGTAGGCATCATGCTGAAAGAACGTTGTTGTGAACGTTTTGTCATGTTTCAAACGAAAGTGTACTTTTAACATGCTTTGTTAACCTGTTAAAATCATTACGCCATCATCGAGGCCTAATAAATAGTGGGCTCGTCAGAGCATAAATAATTTAACCAGCACGTGAAATCCAAGAGAAAATACAGTGTTCTTGACGAAATTGTTTTGGTAAAAATTGGTCAACACATCCTGAGATGGAGGAAGGTGACACGCGTAACGGAAGATTCAAGATCCATGAATGAAACGTGATTATTATGATGTAACATCACAGTAATTTTTACTGGTAAACTTTTACGGAAATTCAGGGAGAAAAAGAACGAGTAAGTTATTGTCTTTTGTTTCATTGTCATAAAAGATTGTAGGCTACTTAAACCAATGAGAAATGTAGAAGAAAATCATACAATAATATAATATAATTTGAAATGAATTTCTAAGAAATATACATAAGATACATGCTCGTAACTATATTATGTATATAGAATTATTGAAGTAATTCATCTATTTCACATACGGTAAGTCAGCATGTTTAGATTAGCAGAATGAACCTTTTAGCAATGCCATTATTTGTCGATTATATATATATATATAAAAATTCGCAATATGGTCTACATTTTCCTAAATGTAATCGTATTTTTGGAGTTTTCAATCTGAATGACACCTTATGTGGCGCATGGCCAGGTGGTTAGGGCGTTCGACTCGCAATTTGACGGTCGCGGGTTCAAATCCCCGTCACACCAAACATGTTCCCTCTTTCAGCCGTGGGGGCGTTATAATGTGGCGGTCAACCCCCCTATTCGTTGGAAAAGGAGTAGCCCAAGAGTTGGCGGTGGGTGGTGATGACTAGCTGCTTTCCCTCT